CAACATCTAATTCACACCACTTCTTGAGTATATTGTTGCACAGTACTTTTGAAGTTTTTCCCTCTCTACTGTCAATATCTTAGTGAGGAGTAACGAAAGAGGATTGGTTGAACATTTACTGGAGCCCGCAATGTATCTTTGTTTGTAAGGATTTTTATGAAGTTTCGGAATCAAATATAAATAGTGTAGTTCAAATTCATTTTGGCTCTGTGGAATATTAAAAATATTTAAAACTGACATATGATTTTGAAGAATTTCTTCTTTAGAAAGTGAAGTATGAGTATAAGTAGGATTACCACTTGTAGAATTAAATCCAAGTTCTTCTAAAATACAATTATATAATGAGCCTTACAAACAAAGACAATGTTGTTACCTGCTTTGTCGGCAGGGACCAGTACGTACTGATCATGTAACAAATTATATTCATTTTTCACATCTGGATTATTGAAGGATAGATGGTTTTCATATTTCCCCTCAATCTTTTAATACGCGACCTCAACATGGATCTGATATATTTAATCCATTCTGACAAGGTGTCAACGTCTTCTTTTTCATATCTGGTCCATCGTCTGGCGTAATTTTCAAACAGAATCTATAATATTCATGATGTTCCAACGCATGTTGAAGGATCGGGGTTCCCTGTATTTAGGACTTTTAAAATAAGTGATCTAAGGTCCTCATTATTAAATATATTTATGTCACCTGTAATAACGTGTCCAGCAGGACTATAGATATAGGGCGAAGAAGAACATGAACACGATGGAGGATTATGTTTCAGATACTCGGTATCCAGGCCATGTAAAGTTTTTTTGTAATTGAAAAGTTTGGAAACAATGGTCGATGTATATTTGTAGGAAATACAAGGTGAAATCTTGAAATATTGTGGAATACAAGACTGGAATCTTTTGTGATTAAAAATATGACTTATATTAACTGCGGCAATTCCTTTATATGTATATTGAAATTTAAGGAAAAGACGGATTGTTTTAGCTGCATTTCTTCCGCAAAACGTGCAGTGTAGCAACCACTATTGAAATAACGACCACTTTTGAAAAAAATTATATCAATAGTGGTTGAGAGTGCATTTCAATTACGAACATAGGTTATAACCACTATTGAAATACAACCACTATTTAAATAATTATATCAATAGTGGTCGAGAGTGCATTTCAATAGGAAACATAGGTAATAACCACTATTGAAATACGACCACTATTGAAATAATTCTTTCAATATCGGGTGAGAGTGCATTTCAATAACAAACATAGATAGTACATAGTACTTGTAATTACTTTTGAAATTCGACTTCTATTGAAATAATTATTTCAATAGTGGGTGAGATTCACTTCAATAACAAACATAGGTTGCAACCACTATTAAAATTATTATTTCCCTTTGTAATAAATATTTCAATATGGATTATAATTGATTTCAAAAGTGCATTGAACAATGAATCCAAAATGTATTGAAATAATTATTTCAAAAGTTGCTGACGCGGTGAATTTTTTCTTTCAATACTGGTAGTATTTCAATAGTGGTTGAAACATATGGTTATCATATTGAAATGCACCCTCACCCGCTATTAAATAACTTTTTTCAGAAGCGCTCGTATTTTAATAGTAGATGAAACCTATGGGTATTATATTGATATGCACTCTCAATCACTATTGAAATAATAGTGGTCGTATTTCAATAGAGGTTATTAACTTTGTTTGATATTGAAATGCCCTTTCAACCATTATTGATATAATTATTTCAAAAGTGGTTGTATTTCAATAGTGATCATTAACTATGTTTACTATTTAAATGCACTCTAATCCTCTATTGATATAATTATTTCAATAGTGTTTGTATTTCAATTGTGGTTATTTACTATGTTTACTACTGAAATGCACTCTCAACCACTATTGATATAATTATTTCAATAGTGGTTATTACCTATGTTTGTTATTGAAATACACTCTCAACCACTATTGATATAATTATTTCAATAGTGGTTGTATTTCAGTAGTGGTTACTAACTATGTTTGTTATTGAAATGCACTCTCAACCACCATTTATATAATTATTTCAATAGCGGTCGTTATTTCAATAATGGTTGCAACAGTGCGGGTTGAAAAAGCCTATGATTCGCAATATCCATAATCACAGATCCGAGACTATATGCTGGTGTCGAAGAATCAAACATTGAACTTTCCTTGGCCTTTTCAAGATGACTATTTAAAAGTTTCAAGGGACAGAGTAAACTTTGCTGCGAATATGATGTAAACCTAATTCTTGATTGACATAAGGTAGTAAAATCAAAAGAGACGTGTATTGAAGGTTTATTGTACGACCGATGCCCATGACTACGCTTACGTCTCTGTGTATGGTTAAAAAGCCCCATGAACTCATGAACAAACGAAGATTAGTAGGGTCTAAGTTTTCTGTTTTTGTTTTACTTACTTTTTTAATATGCTTTGGCATTCAAAAAGTGTGCGATTGTTTATTTCAGACTCATTTCTCGATTTAAAAAATAAATTATTCGATCATTGCTATTTTGAGCATTCTTCTAGACCGGAAGGTTCATGATTTTTAGGAATCTACATGTATATATCTAAATTATCAAACAAAATAAGATATGTAATTAAGCAGGTGGCTTCGCGTGATTTCTTCTCTCTTTTATCTGCCATATGAACTCATATTTTATAGCAAAAATCCACGTCTTTTGGCCCTGTTTACAATTTGCTTTTGAAAAAAAGATTGATAAAATCGATCAGTGTACGCTATCTTATCATCTTTCACCCAAAGAAACGCGACATATTTTTTTTTCTCGTAGTGATCCATTGATTTTTCTTATCAAAGGCTCAATTGTTTAAACAACTTAAAGTTAAAAAAAACGACCTCATGTGTAATAACTATACCTCTGAGTACGGGACACTTGCATCATATTACTCTCCTTTAAATGAGACTTAAGAACTAGAATAGCATACCAAGCAATTATCCTAAAACTCTGTTTGAATGTATGAAAAATTTTAATCTACAGAATTCCTGTGTTATCTTAAGGATAACTTTTCTTATGCTAACAAGACTACTCTGTGTCTTTTCAATGCTAAAAGACTACTCTGTGTATGGGCATGTATTTTCAACCTTGGAAGTCAATTGTGGAAATTGACGTACGGTTTTAGCGTTGAATAACTCGAAACGAATGCAAACAGACTGAATTAAGGTGTTTTTTTTTAGCTCAAATATAAAATAACTTATCATTTAACATGCGGTGTGGGTAAAATCTGTCGTACCTTGCATTCACTTTGCCAAAAATTTCAGTAAACACAGAAGCTGTAGCAGAAATTGTCTTAATCTATTTTTTTTTTCTTTTCTGTGATTTTTTAAATCTCATTTTTGATATATCAAATTGGAATCTTCAAACCAAACATCACCAAGAATATGATTTGTTAAATTCTTAATTGTATAAATGTTTTCTGGGTCATATTTCGAATGATAATTATTAAATAACTACATGTATTTCATTTAGGAGATGATGCACTCATTTCATTTAAGTTGATTATCATGTAGAATAATTAATTTATTTTATAAATTAGGATATATTCAAAATAAAGTATAATGTGTCTATTTTTGATTTACTATTATGTTTTTCAATTAGAATTAAAATACCACTGGTTTCAAATTTGAAAATATTGTGTTCCCTGCACAATGTGTTTTTAAAAAAAATTATTAAAAGAGCAAAGGCTATTTTTTGGCCCTGTGAATTTCCGAAATATCAGAACAGCTCAGTTTTGGTTGACAATGCAGTATTTATCCGTTGGAAGCTTGGTGTCCACGTTTCTGTTGAGCATGACGTAATCTTCTCACTAGTCAATACATTATGACCTTAGGAAATGAGGCATTTTCAAATTATCCTGTAAATTCCGTTAAAATTAGTGAAATGTTGAACTAATCTTTCAATTTTTCATAAATAACACAACCTCAGATCCAAAATATATAATTACATAACGAAAGACCTTTCTCTGAAGATTATAAAATATGACTGTTTAAAATTTTGATCGAGGGCTGTGCATTTTCACAAACCCCGTCTTCCTATACCAAATTTTCAAAAGGAAATTTTTAAAATGAAAGCACTGTCTCTTCTTTATTTTGATACGTGAAAATGGACAGGGATTGACAGTCAATTAATTGATATAAGAACAGGACCCCTTAAAAAAAATGACCCTTGTTCTTTCTTTCTGGTCGGTTTGATGCTTGCCATGAAAATGGTGAATTATATATATATACAGTATTTTTGAACCAATTTTATAAAATTTATAAAATTTGAGAATAGTACGTAATTAAATGAATGTTTTCATTTGAATTCATTTCCTTAATTTTATAATCTTTCCATACCGAAAAAGTTTTTATTTTTATTATTATTATCTTTTTTTTTGAAAAAAAAATGTTTCAGACTCATTTCAAACGAATTATTCATTCATATGTTTCATTGTTTTTTTCTGTTTAAATAATTTCTTTTCTACCTTAATCAAATCTTTATGCAACCTTTAACATTGCACCTTGTTTAAAACTAAACGTTCAACCTTTCAATTGCATAATTTTTTTTATAATGCTATTAAAACGTTGTGTTTACAGCCGACTGATACTATTTGATACCATATATGATTTATTCAAGAGATTTTTCGATTTTTCAGAATCTAACATCAAATCAACAACCTCTGCTAAAAAAATAAGTAAAACTAGGATAATTTACCAGATATGCACAGGACGAAAGACAGATAGAAGTGAATTTAGAAAAAAAAAAACCACAAAACACCTTTTGTTTGTATTTCAAGTACATACTTTGTCTCTGAAGAACGTGAACCGTTATTCTCACCAAAGAAACTATAAATATATCAATATTCTTAAATAAGTGATACATCTTTTAATTTTATGAATTCGTCCAATCATCAAATTTAGTGCAATATTTAATCTTGTAAAATTGCATCGTTTCACAACAGACAATATTAAGGTCGAATAACAACATAAACAAATATAAGTCTTTTATTTTCAGACATGTATAAAGTTTTCTGTCTTATCTGACAGTTTTGTTACATTTTTTGCAAAGCAATAATCTTTTCATTTGTTTCTAATCAATCATAAAAATCTTCGGGTGCACTGCTTGTGTCTTGTCTCTGCAAAAAATCGTTAGCTCTGTCCATCATCATTTTTAGATTTGACAATGCTAGTACATCTTTTTTTGGATCAGGGTTAGTCTCATCATGGTAATTAGACATCGGTAAAACATTCATATCAGGAAGCTGCATGAAATCAGCAACGACTTTAAACTTTCTATATACCTCTTCACTTCTGAAGAGCTGAGAAATGTCATCTGACAACGAGGCCCGGAGCCTGTCGACCTTGTTCATCAAAACAAGCTGTGGCACATCTAATGAAAAATATATTAAAAAATATAAAAATAGTAGTAGTAAAATCGTACCAGTTTATGAATTGATTTCATTTTTCATCTTTACTGAAGTAACATATATAACTTTATCTATAATTTCAAATAATCAAAAGATTATGTATTATGGGAAATGTAAAAATTAAGAGAAAACACTCACTTAATGGTGCCAATAGTTCTCGCATTCTTTTAAATATTTCTACAGCTGATTCATCAGCCAACGCTGACTGTGGATTGTCAGCGTTAACAACGTATATGAGACAATGGATCTTGTCCCCTATATTTGGCTGAGATCGATATTTTGCATGGTCGCTTTGTATTGATGCAACTGGGTTTATCTATAATTTTAAAAAATGAAGTTAACAAAATAGTGTTAATCTTTAAGCTTTAGGGAGGCTAGGGGGTCAACAAATTAACTATCAGATATAACAGAATGTTTTAGATATGATATCTTTAGTTTTCAACTGAAAAATGGAAAATGGCTAAAATGATGAAGAGGGCAGTAAATGAGGACACTGGCCCCTGGATTCACTAGATATTGGATGAAGTGCCTAAAAGGAGTAAGCAGTCTTATCAAACAGTCACACACGCCATGAACCATCTAAATGTATATTAATCAATTATACGAGGCACATGTATTCAGGATCACTTGATCAGAAAATCATTCACAGGGAATATTTGAGTCAATAAAGATAACACAGCCATCAAGCTCAAATGTTCATTGAATTAAAGTATAGAGCAAACACGGACGCCTAAAATACCCAAGGTGGGATCAGGAGCAAGCATTTCCTGTGGACTCGACCCGTTATTCACTCTTTTCTCATTATTCGTTAAACCGGTCACGGTAGCCTAGTGGTAGAGCGTTCGCTTCGTGATCGGGAGGCCCGGGTTCGATTCTCGATCGCGGCGCCGCGTCATACCTAAGACGTAAACAAAGGTAGTGACTGTTCCTTCGCCAAGCGCTCGGCACTAGAAGTGAAAGTCACGGGTCTTTCGGATATGACCTTAAAAACGTAGGTCCCGTGTCACGGTAGGCGCTGGAACGATAAAGAACTCTCACTGCTCAATGGCCCTGAGTGCCGAATATAGGTCTAAATTTGAAGCCCTTCACCGGCATACGGTGACGTCTCCATATGAGTGAAAAATTCTCGAGAGGGACGTTAAACAATGTACAATCAATCAATCATTATTCGTTAACGATTGAAGTTTAAACAATTCTTGGTAAACATTTTAAAATAAATGCCTACTCCGTTGTAGGAAAAATGTCAGTCAACATTCAAACAACAAAAGCTTATATCTATTAAATAATTTTCAAAAATATTACTTAAAACAGGATTTAGATACATATGAGACATCAATGTCAGTAGCCTTCTTCAGACTTAGAAGAAAAGTACACAGCCGTTTTGATAATGATTAATTGTTGATTTGAACATATTTTAATGTAATATAATTACAAAGGGATTGAGCACAAGTACTGAATACTTATAACGCCCTCTCCCTAAACTTGTTACACGTGTAAGGGAAATAGTCGATTCAAATGTTAAAACAATCTAGTTGTTTCAAAAAATTACAAATACAAATCTTGAATCTTGTCAATTACAAGTGCAAATAATCTATCAGGACTGAGACGCTTAATTTATGAAAGATATAATTGAAGTTAAGTAAGCATTAATATTCCTCTTTAAATTACCATCCATTTATATTTTCCTACATGCAATTAACACTAATATATGTAGCATGTCTATGTTGGTATAACGTTGATCCAATGTAACTTTTTTGGTCCAACATTGGCAAAAGACCATGTGTCAACATTTATTGACCACTGTGATACTGTTGGTCGAGTATTGGACTAAAATAAAATATTCTCTTAACAGAACATGTATGGTAATACTAGGCCATTGTAATGCCAACGTACTGTTACCAGCTTAACTAACCATTTTTGTTAATGGTTTAACAAACACTGGATCTGCGTTGACCCAGGTTATGCTCTCAACTTACATGTGCATCGTGCTGTAGGTCTCAATACGAGTTTTGGGGGAAAATTCGACCATAGTAAAGAACAAGCAAGCTTTCATCGGACAAACAAATTGTTACCAGTTTTAAAAAATAAACTACGGTATGGGTGCATTACATTTATTTGACCCATGATGGATTTATTTTAGAATTCCAACTTACTACCAAATTTAATGAAAAGGAATTGGTTAACGTTGGACCAACAAAAGAATTCCAATGGTTGGATACAAGAGAGATTGCCGTGGTAACAACAGTTCAATGTTGGTCCAATGTTCTCTACCTGACCTTAACTATCGGCCAGCTGAGCAAATATTTGCCAACGTTTGCCCAACATAGTCATACGATCTGAGAAATTTTACATCTGAAAATAAAAAGTTTGAAAAAAAACGATATTAGTATAATTTGATGCTCAGGAAAATCTATTTGTACCTGATATCCACTTTTGACATGGCCTTTAACCATTAATTGAACATCCTCTGGCGTCACTCCACTTACATTGTGCAGACCACGACAATCAAATATTCTTAGTGGCAATATTTTGTCATCCTTTGTAAATAATGGGTGGGTCTCAAACTACAAGATTCTTAAAATTATTGTATTTTATGTTAAATAAATTCTATCATATACCTTGTGCATGTAAAAATACATACAGTTGAGGTAACACTGCTTCCAGATGGCTTATAGACTGCTAGCGGAGCCAGAACTCTTTTTTCATCCTTTAGGGCTGTAGCACATGAATTGAAAAATGAGGTTTTTCCAGAAGCAGCTTGGCCAAGTAACATGCAGTTTAGATATTTCACTCCGCCCTTAATCCGAAAATTAGATACTTCAGCTAACAACTCGTCTTTTTCCTGAAAAAAAAATAGCAAAACATTTAATTTGTCTCGCAAAAATTTTGAAAGGTAGTATTCTATTATGTTTGATGTCTGGGGACAAAACAAGACCATTATAAATTAAATATATGAATAATGATACCAGTAATTCAGTTCAATAAACCTTTAAACAATACAAATTTGATGCAGAGCAATCGCAGACTTGCAAAATATCAACGGTAGGATCAGCTGCTGCGGAAGAGGGAGCCCCTGCCGATCGGTCATACCCATCGTGTGGTCGCGCTCGTGATGCAGTGGTTAGACGGTCTGCGCTAAGAAAGGAGTTGATCCTTACATCGAGGGTTCGAATCCCACTGTAAGACGAGGATACTGGTCCTTCGGATGAGACCGTTTAAACGGAGGTACCGTGTCGCAGTAGATGCTGGTACAAAAAAGAACCATCAATGTTCAATGGCCCTGATTGCCTAGTATAAGATATAATTTGCATCTCTCCACTCACAGGTGGTGGCCTCTCCATATGAGTGAAATTTTCTCGAAAGGAACGTTAAACAATATACAAACAAACACACAAACATACCCATTGTGTATATACCTTTCAAGGTTCAAGATATCTAGAAATAACGAGAAAAAATCCTCGACAATTCTACGTGAAAATATTTCTTAATATCTGTAGTTTACTTCCATGAGAAAAATATTGAAATTATGAACAGTATACAAGTAACAGTGAGGAATACAAATAGAAAGCGTTCAGGCTAAATAGTCAAAATAAAATTTCCTCATTAACAATCGAAACAAGTACGCTTTTTATGAAAGACGAAGATGATAAAAAGTTTGAAAGCTCAAACGTTTCTTGAAATACAAATAATTATTATTATATGCACTTAATTTGCGTCCAGGGTAAAATTCATATCGAAAATGTAAGAACAAGAGTATCGAAGCAAAACAGGGACTGGGAACAAGGCCCACCTCATATTCTCCTCGGGCAAAGCTCTCGGAGAATATAATTTTTCTTGGCTAAATAAATCTTCCTTTGTCCCTCACAATTATGCAAAAAAAATATATTATATATCCAAAGAATTTTAATACTTAAACAAGTGCAAGTGCATGTGTCAAAAATTGAAGTATACTTGTTGAAATACTAGAAGTTTGTATTTTTAATCCAGAATTTTTTCAATTACCTGCATCAAAGTTTTTTATCTACTTATTTCTATTGAATTTGAGAACAAATTTAAAATTTCAAGAGAATGACAATTATCCTTTAAGTGCATACATATAAAACAGATATGTCGTCTGACCTTTTTTTGTTTGTTTGATTTTGTTGTTAAATATCTTTTGTACTTACTCGCCAGTCAAAGTTTCTCCAAGGTCTTGTTCTCAGAGGTGGTGGACCTTCGTCACGTTTAACTGTATATAAACAAAATTATGTAATGTGAATTTTACACCCAAGAAAAGTAATGTGCTTTTGCAATTATTTTTAAGACAATAAACCAGGGGATGACACTTTTAGTTTGAAAAAAAAAACAGTAAACAACAGTTGGCAACCCTATACAAGTATTGGCGGTAGAATTAATTTAATGCAACCTAACTATAATTATATAATGGTATTTTAACAAAGATATTGCATAATATTTAAAATTTAAATAAAAAAAACTGTAAATAAATGGGCTCTTTCAAATGTTTTAGGTTTGCGAAATTTTGCATTTCTCCAAGTAATTTTGCATTTCAATTGTTCATTTTCTTATTGAGTGTTGAAACATTTGCAAGGAAAAAAGATATAACATTATTCCCGGGCAAAAACTGGTTTATTTAATCTTAAGATACATTGTTAACAGAAAAACACGCATGATTTAGTCGAACTAGATCGTCTTTACTACAAAAAAATATTAAAACCAAATCTTTCCTATCTTTGGAGTTAATGTTACTGGTGTTTTGAAATTATTGCCTACTTCCAATATTGTTTTCTGTTATATTTTCTAATTAGGATTGGTCAGTAATTTGCAAATTGAGACCAGAAGAGTTCAACATGTGTGAAATCACCAGATTAAGCGATGGGAAACACCGTCAAAGCTAATCTATTCTGACAAAGGCTTAGTGTATAAAAAGAAATCATAAACTCTGGAAGCTTGTGTGTACGTTGTTTTCATCGAATTTCTTGCAAATTTAGAATCTAAAAAAAAATTAGGAAGGAACGAAATCGCAATACATATATGATTTCAATATACTAATCAATAAAAAGCTTTCTTATATACCAGGTTATATATATGGTCAATAATAGGCATCTTTTTGACCGCTGAACCTTTCAAATCTTTTGAAATTCATATATATTAAAAAGAATTGAAATCTTATCAATAAGCAAAGGAATTAAAAAAGTAAACTTTATTGTATGTATTTTAAACTTTACACATTGTGAAATTTAAATTGTGGAAAATACAAGGGTTATCCATAACGTTCGTGGACAAATGCTATTATTTTTGTAATAAAGTCTGCTCTGGCAAACATATACGATAATATTTAAATATTTACCATGGTATAGTAATTAAAAAAATTAAACAATAGATATAATATGGTATTCTATTCAACGAGTTTAATAGGTGTAAACACTTAGTATATACAAGCTACATGTGCCAGTCCGACATAAAGCAAAGTTCATTTATACGTCAAACATTTAAATTTTGAATTTTTAACACATGTTCATGAACAAAAGCTACAAGTTCTTTATTATGCTACACTGTCAATTGCTAGCAATTTTTTATGAATAGATTAAACTTTATTAAGTTTTAAAGTTCTAAACAATAAACAGTTCGGGCATATAGGCTGCACAACCTAGTCCAACACCGTGATGAATAGAAATGCATGTAACCATTTTCATCAAATAACATGTATTTCAGACTTCTTTGTACACACCAATGAAAAATCGTTCATACCAATCTCAAATCAATACATTAAATATATTTCATTAATTTTGAGTTGTTTGAACAGATAATTTGTTTCTTATTTCCTTTCAACCGTATTTAAACATAATTTTATGTCTTAGCGCCTCGCCGTTCGGACAGCCAACGTCGCTTTTAATGTTAAGTTTTGACACATAATCCTTAGGTTTTTTGGTCTAATATCTTCACTGTCTATATATAGTAAGGGCAACTTAGATATCAGAAAATGACTCAAGCCTCTTAAATTGTGTTACATATAATTTTATCAATCTTTGTCTTTGACTTGTTTTATTTTAAAAAAACCTTTTTAATCCAAACACATCACCACAGTATTTCAAAGTTTATGACATTTTAACATTCGTCCGTGAGCACTAATTTTGACGTTTAAAGAAAGGCCCCGAATTTTACAAAAATATTAAGTTCCATCTGTAAAAAATATTCTGATTTGGTTTATCATAGAAATATTTGGATATACCACGAATATATATATATATCCATTTCACAAAAACGTCATTACCCACGAACTTTTTGGAAGGAAATTGATTTAACAACAACACGAATGCATTTATTTTAGTAAATATATAAGGGTCTACTGCAAAGTCAAAACATTCTTAGAATTATAATACATAGATCATGCATCAAATAAAAAAAATGAAGATTACAAAATTTAAGAAAAAACTCACCTTCGTATTGAGGCTGTGTATTTTCAGCTCCTGAAAGGATAGTTATCTATATATTTTTTGTTTTATGGAATATAAGATCACAGATAATCCCTATTATCACATTAGTCAAAATAACGTACCATAACCGGTGGAGAGAATATTTCCCATCTTTCGACGTGGTTTTAATTCTCTAGAAAAAAATGTGAATAAAAATTGTTTTTCATATAAATTAATATTTAAGAATAAATATTATATTTTTGTAACTCATTCCCTGGTATATTTGTTTAGAAGTAAAGATTTCAAAATGTATATCTATTATCCGTACATTAATTTACGCTATCCTAATAAACAAGATGTTTTTCTGCGCTTATATGCTACCTGGACTTTTAAATAGAAAGAGCTTTAAACCCAAATTTCATTGGTTGAGACTATTTATGACAAAACCTATTTAATCTAGCAACCTAATCTGCGGCCACTATTTGCGTTTGAGAAGGAGGATACAAATGTGCTTTATAAGGTAAGGGTTTAAATTAATATGTATGTAGCTTATAGCTTATTTTATTTATGCGGTTAGAAAAAAATTTAGTAAGTTTGTTATTTTAAAAAAAAAAACATTGTTCATTTCAGATTTCACATTTATTGAATAAACTCGAACTTTAAGCACTTAAAAGAAATATTAAGATAACGAACAGTAATTAAGGTCAAAAGACCGTTGAAACAATACAAAGCTGGTATTACAGCGGGCCTCCGCAGCCACCAGAGGGGAGACCAGGTGCAGTAGAAGAGTAAGTATCTCTGTTGACCGGCTACACCCACCGTGTGCCCCTGCCATGATTTGACAAACAAATAAAATTGTCAAATGATTTAAGCATATACATGTACATGAATATAGAAATACTTAATTTCTTCAAGATTGGGAACATTTCGCGGATCTTGACAATCGATAAAGGATGACTAGGGTTTCTCTAACATTTTTGAAAAAAAAAACAGTCTTTGGGAGTGAAAAAACATAATGAGAGATAATAGGACAATTGAAGGAAAATGCCTCCTTAATTACGAGTGCCATCTCTTTATCAATAATAAAATGTGTAACTGTATTACATTTCATAAAAATTGACATGTCTCCACGGTTGTGAAAACACACCTTGAAAAAAAAAACGTACTTTCAAATTTGGAACAAATCAAAACCTTTTCAATAAATTAAAAAAAAAATTAAAGTGCGTCAAATTTAGAACCAATTCAACACACTTTGAGGGAAGAATATAGAATGCGTTAAGAGCATATATCAATATTTTTACCATGGGGACACTGGTATTTTAGTAAAACTCACTATTATATGAAAGTGGAGAGACTCAAGAACCAAATACAGAAGCTGATCTAAGCAACAATAGCAAACTGACTATACTGTTACCAAGGAAGCTTTACTAAAAACAAATACAATACAAAAAAACATACATGTATAAAATGCATAAATATTTTTTTTCATATTTCTTTATACTAATGAAAAAAAAAGAATAAAAAAGAAACTAAAACAAAAGGCTATTATATTATGCGCAAGTAATTTTTTCATACTTCTCAGTTAATATTAAAAGACAACCATTATGTGATTCAGTAAGCATACCAATTCGAACCCAATTTTTTTTATCTCAGGTACACCTAATGGTTTTTTAAAAAGTATTAAACCTAAATACAGCAAAAAGTATCAGCAAGTCCTTCGTACATTTATTTTTAGTTTGTTTTTATTGTAATAAGAGGTCCATATTTGTTTCAAATTGTGTTAATATCGATATTTAAACAGTTTTAAAAGCAAAATTCAAGTAAGTCTTGTGTTCACTTCGTGCTTCTTCAAATAAAAATGCACAAAAAGAAACGTTTGCAAATAGTGGAGAGGTAACCCAGAGATCGCGAAATTTAAGAGAAACTCATGCTTTAAATTGTTATATTCTTTATCAAATGAAAAATAATATTATAGCCACATTTTGATAAAATTAAAAATCATTGTTTGCAAACACATTACCCCATTTTATTATATATGAAATATATACTTTTAGAAGAATTAATAATTTCATGTGATAGTGCAATAACATTATTTTCACTTTTCTAAAACGCCTTGATTCTAGCCGAATCAAAAGCGCCCTCGTTTTTAGAGATATTTCTTATTCTTTGAAAATTTTATAAAATATTTTGAATTGTTTTAATATTATTGTAATTTTTTCACATCTAATGTGTTCCAAAGTGTCAAGGATAGGCTGAAAGGTTTCCTCACAACCGGCAAAAAGTTTGTTGAATTAATTAAAATTGATGATTAAATAAGGGTATAAAATTGTTGAATGGCTTGCTGGTTTAGTAGTATAATGGCTTTCTTGGACGAAATGAGATCTCAGAATATGTAAAAATCTAATGACTAAATTATGAAAGTTTTTTATGCATACTGTATGAATATAATAATATAATTAATGAACCATTGAAGACCCATAGACTCTACACAACTGCTTCCTTTCCTCCAGATTTCATGTATGAACAGAAGGGATCTACGTGCACCAATTATATACTAGAGAACAAATAAAGTGTTTTAAATAATTATTTATTTATTTATTATTATTAATATATAATTATTCTACAAGTGGTAATCCAACATATACTCATAGATCCTTTTCTAAGGAAGAAATTTTTCGAAATCATATGAACAAGGGTTGTCCCAGAAAAACGCGAACTTTTTCAATATTCCAAATCCTATTCATCCAAAATAAATATTTTTTGCATTATGTTGAAAAATCATCTTTTGGATATTTTGAAAAACATTATAGGCCTTTGATGTCGTTTACATATAAAAACAGCATTTAAAGGATGTAAAATATCGGTGGACAGCGACAATTTTTTGACTTTGACAAATAGCATTGTCAATTAAGTTTTCTTTGTTATCAGGCTACACGGCAACATAATGTCAAAAATTTTACCTTCAAAAATACTTTATAAGGTTTTGTTTAAATTTCATTTATTTGACATCATTAAGGACAAATATAAGATGATATGTGTCAAAGCGCTTTGGATTAGATATTGTTAAACATGATGATGTTTAGGGGTAATGAGGAGCACGAAATTATCAAGCAACACTATGTTGAGTGGGATATGAATCTTGTATATAGAGAAAATGTATGTTAATGGTTTATCTCTAGCAGAAGGGGTTTAAGGTTGACTGGTTATCCGATAGAAGAGAATAGACCACTTAAATAAAGACGAACTAAAGAGCAGGACGTCTAAGGCCTACGTGAAGACCGCTGTTAGAAAATTCATTGAAGTTTATGTTCGAGATTGTGAAATTGTCTGTTAAAAGAATTAACTCCACAATCTTTTGGTAGCACTAGTATTTAAGATTAACAACTTGGTAACAACAACAAAATTAAATACAATTCCAAATGTATGCTTAAATGAATTTTTAAAGGCACAGTTTCCAGAATAAATTTACAAACAATACGAGATGCGTTTTGACGTCGTCAGTGTTGCGCCGAAAGCTGATTTGTTAGATCCGTTTACCTGAGAGGAAAATTTTATTTAAAGAGATATTTCATTGAATTTGTTATGCATCATTAAAAAAAATTTGTTTATGATGTATACCGATTTTTAACTTAAACATAGTCCTAGAGTGAAACAAAAGATATTGAACATCTTCACGTTTTTCCGGGCAACCCTCGTAAGTTTTGAATATTTTTAATATTCCAAACAACCAAAATGAATTTGAATTACCCTATCTATATTTGATTTCAAAACTCATAAAATACTTACAAACAAAGATGCATAACGGGTTCGAGTTACAGCTTAAAAACTTACGACTTTTCAACTTTATACACAACAATTCCTCACAATAAATTAAAGCCCAGGCTTTTTTTAATATCATTTACAGCTGCTTTTTCAATAATAATAGAACTCGTAAACTAACGTACCTTGTCATTGGTCATTTGCAAAATTATTTTGTTTTATTTGAGTGTCTGATTGACATATTAATATCTATTTGGTTTTTGGAGGTTTTCCAACAATCTATTGGAATTCCCACGGGTAGCAATTGTGCTCCGATATTAGCAGACCTTTTTTTTTCATATGAAGCAGAATTGTCCATATTTGTCCTTAATCTTATACGTGAAAAGAAGAAATCTCTTGCTGTGGCCTTCAGCTTGACATATAGAGATATCGAGGACGTATCGTCAATAATGGTTATTTTCATTCTTATTTCGACAAGATATATCCCAGTGTGCTTGAAATAAAAGATACCACAGCGTCTGACAATTCTTTTTCATATTTGGATATTTTACTTGAAAAAGAAAACAGTAATGGTTATCTAACACTTAAGCTCCATAATAAACGTGATGACTTTTACTTTTTCAATCGTAAACTTTCCTTACTTATGCAGCAGTATACCTTCATACGGGGTTATATCTCTCAGTTTATTCGATATGCAAAAGCATGTTCTACATATATACTATTTCTAAAACGAGGTAAATCTTTGACAAACAAGTTGATGAAACAAAAATATCTGATTCAGCAGTATCGTTTAAAGTCATTATTTTGCTAGCTTTTTGGTCGATATAATGACCTTGTCAGCATATACAAGTTATCAATGAGTCAAATGCAGACTAACGTTTTTCAAACTAATTGTTAGGTAATTAATTACACCCTAAATTGTCTTCGGATTTTAATATTATTTCCCGATCATAACAAGGAGCACACGAAAGGTGCGACCGGTCGGCAGGAGATGCTCACTCCTCTATAGCACTTGATCCTACCTCTGATGATTTGAAGGTCCGTGTTTGCCCTGTTCCTATTTTGTATTGTTATGAACTTTTGAAGTTGAATACTGTTCGTTATCTCCATAAATCTCATTATACATAATATTTAAAGATAACCAGAAGAAAACTGTACTAATTCTAAATCTAAAATCATTTTATCGCTTTTAGTAAAAAAAAAAAGGAGACAATTATTGTTCTTTTTTCTATAAAAAAAAATGGGGGGACTAGATTACATTCATATCCCTGGTACTAAAAATGGTTTGCTTCGTATATGTTTGTTCTCAATACGCAAGTTTCGAGATTGTAACTCTTCTACAAAAGAGGCGCAAAAAGTATCCGTATCAGCAAGGAGTTGGGACAATTTGTTAGTGTATACAAACGTGTATG